TTGCGTTACGGCGAGTATACCGCTGTTCTTTCTTAAAAAATGTCTTATCTACCAATTAGCCATTTCTTAGGGTATTTTAAAATATTTGCAACATCGCGTCACTTTCATTTTTTAACGTTGCAACCGCCGAGCCCTAAACGTGACTAATGTTTTACGACAGTGGCAAGATTAGATTTATTTATAAACATCGCACGATTTCTATTGTAATAAATGCTCGATCAAGGAAGTCCATTTGGATATTTCTCATGGGAACGTTTTGATAATATCAGGAATTGTTGAAGAAGAAATTAGGAACCAGTCATTTCGACTTGTTTGGTAATTCTAGCGTTAAGCGAGGCTGGAATATTCTGCATGTACATATGAGCCGTTTATTTTGAAAGTGGCATAAGTCACTTTACCGTAATTAAAAGTGGATTTTTTAATGTTTATACGAAATTATTTATACTGAGAAAAATATCGGTATCCTGAGATAACAGATACAAGTAAATCTTCTCGAAAGTTGGCGTCCATATTTTTAAACGTGTTAAAACGCAAACCCTTAAATATATCGACTTAAAAACAAAGTGACTTATGCCACTTTCAGAATAAACGGCTCATATATACTTCGTAGAGTTCCAGATTGAATTCCATTTATTTGTTTCCACTTATTTAGAAATGACTTTATTACTTTAAACCTTCGTTTCGTTCGGACGATCAGAAATGTTAATTGGGGCGATTTAACTAAGGAGGGCAGTACACCCCCGTCGTGCTGTTTACAAAATTTGATGTTCAAATTGCAATTTTAGTGAGAACTAAAATATATTCGTAAATTTTAAGATGTGTTGCATAATTGGAGGCCGAAATGACGAAACAGGGGCAAATCAAACAAGACGAATAATTATTATAAAAAAAACTGTATAGCACAGTTTCTGCGTTAGGTTGTATACTCGTCGCTTACTTTTTGCGACACATTCTGGGTACACCGTTTTCAAAGAGGTCGCAACAGCCAGCTGGTTAACCCCTTGCCGCACTTTAATGAGTCAGACTCGTGGTGGAGATTTCTACTAATAAGCTGTCAGCTATGAATGTTGTTCCGTTCCTTTAAAGCTAGAATTACCGAACTCTGAATGCAGCTAATGTATATTGGTTTATAAAAACGTCGAGATTGTATTTATTTATTTATTTTGTCGTACGATTTAAGTATCAAGAACGTGTGCCACAAACAACAACAAGAAGTTGTGCCAATCGCGAACTTCTTACAGAATGTAAATACAATGATTCCGGTTAATATTCGGACACTTCTCGAAACGCAATAACTTTTTCAGAACTGTACTAAACAATGACTTGAATTTTTTTTTAGTCGATAGAGCGACCAGTTTTTACTAGACCATAAATTTGCTCAAAAAGGTTGCTATTACTTAGACTGATAAAAGGAAATAAAAAAACTCTTGTTTTCTAACTTTTTTATCCGAGCCTACAACGAAAATTTAAAAAATTTGTTTTGCAGATCTCGGTAAGTTGTATGCATGTTAAAAATTTCACCGAAATCGATTGACCTTCGTACGAGTTGTAAACAATCGTAAGAATCGGAAGATCGTAAAAATCGCAGGACGCGTCAACTGGTTCCTGCGTCTTTAGTTATTAATAAAATAATTAAATGAGAAACAAAAAACCACAAAACACGTATCCCCTAACCTAACACGAGTCTAACTGCTTATGTTTATATTTGGCCCGACTGACGCACCACGGGTCTCATTTCTGGCCCGATTTTGTGACCATGTCTCTCAGACGTGATAATCATTTCTGGCCCGATTATCCGACCACGTCTCTCGGACGTGGTTGTAGGATAAACGGTTTCTATTATACGGTACAGTTCCTATTATAATATATTCTTTTTATTAAATAAGTTTACCTAAAAGTTTTTCGTTGATATATTTTTCTAATATCGGGAATTATTATAGAAAAAAAATTGGAAAAAATGTTGACTGGTTTTGGTAATTCTAATGAAATTCTATTCTCTTGTCACCAATATTTAAACATTCTAGTAGATGTAAACACGCAATAAACATAAAGTTTCTTTCTCTTCTAAGAAATTATTGCGATCGAAAAAGTTCAAATCATTGTAATTGTAACGAAAATAATGGTATACAGAGCAAACGCTTAACAACGTACTCGCGTTCCGAAATCGAAACGATACCACTTCCGAACACGCGTGCTCGATGAACCGACACCGTGAACGCTTCCGCGGTACCCTAATCAATGAAAAGTCACGGATTCGCCGCGCTTACCGGTGAATTACCGAACCCGATTAACCCCGTTCACGGGATAATCCCTGCGACTCGAGCTCCAGTCCAAATATTCCCCCGGCCCTATTGTCCTTGATACGCGTCGGCACGCTCGATAACGTTGCGCTAATGTATACCCGGCCCGATTGTTCAATGAGCCGCGCGCGTTTCCGCGACGTTCTCCGATCCGCGAGACGACCGGCTTTGTTGAAAGTAAGATGCGTTCGAGACGCAACTGGACCGTGCATACGTCGCGAACGTGCAGCACACGTTGTCCGGGCGATCGAGATCAAACAAGAAAATAGGAGCGACGTGTGTGGAAAACGGAGTATTTATACGGCGCTCCGTTTCTAGAGACAATAAAACTCTGCGACAACCTCCGCCGACCTCTTTACGCGATTCTCCATTTTTCTTGAATCATTAACCTGCCGTCTACCGTGCCGGAATCGCCGCGATCAACAATGGGGAGGACCGCGAATATGTATCGGTAGAATACCAGCGCGAGTCAGAGATGACTCCGAGACAGGAGGCCGCGCTTCAGTAGTCGGAGTGTTAAGGATAGTCAGAAATCCCAAAAATATCTCGCAATACGAAAGTAGGGGATTCCTGAGGTGATTTGAAGCAATTTTTTCCTTAGCGAAAATGCAATCCGCGGCTTCGTTTACAAGTTATTAACGAAAAACAGTGACCAATCAGAGGTGAGATCATTTGGCGCGAGACGGCCGAGCCAGTGAGCAGAACTGAGCTCCGTGCACACGTTGGCTGGGCCGCTGCGCGCCAGCCGAGCTCGCCTCTGATTGGTCAGTGTTCTTCGTTAATAACTCGTAAACGAAGCCACGAAGAAAATTTTCGCAAAGGAAAAAGATGCTTCAAATGACCTTAGGAACCTCCCATTTCCGAATTACGAGACATTTTCGGGAAACCCTGTATGGTACTATTTAAAAAAGTCAAGATGACGAGCTTTTTATCGAATACAAAATTGTTCGAAATTGTTATTATTGCTCTGTCTTCTCTTCGAAGTACAGTAATGTCTCTCTAATTGACGCTCGGATTGTCCAAAAAAATGGACAATTTTGGAAGAGGAGATACGATTATTCGGGACTTGCTGTTCGTTTTTATAGTCAAGGTTATGTCAAAGTTGTGTCAAGGTTATGCTAGGCTCGAATAATCGTATCTCCTCTTCCCAAATTATGCATTTTTGTGGACAATCCGAGCGTCAATTAGAGACATTACTGTACTCGTTAACTTTTATCGCAAAGAATTTGTTGGTGAGATTAGTATAAATGCCTCAAGAATCGGTGCGAACGATAGGACGAGCAGCCTTAATATAACGCTAACGTAATTTAGTTTTTCCAACGATACTGTGACTAATGAATGGGGACCATTGACGGTTTACGAGCTATCGCGAGATGCCCTAGAAATATTTTAAAAGTTACAGCATCGTTGCGAAAACTGAGTGACAAAACTTCAATCTTCGGATCAAAAATGACTCGCCGATGGTTCTGCTAGTGTTCGTCAAATTGCTCAGATTTTGTGGGCATTCTTGGGGTTGATTTTCGGCACTTAACGTGTTAAACCGGAGATATTATTAAACGGTACTGGCACATGGCGCGTGCGATCGTTGCCGGCCGTTTCTACCTTCCGGTTTCAAGAACCGTGGACGGTTTCGACTCTGCGGTAGTTGAGAGGCTCGCGAGAAGGGAATTTTAGTCTAGCTTGTGCCGGGCTTATTTTCGAGAAGCGATAATCCCGTCCGCTTTCGCGCCACGGTCACGGAGAGGCGCGCCGCACAATGGGGAAAAATTATCAAGCTGGCGTCAAAATTGTAGAATTTTTAACAGAATCGAGATAGAGAAATGATTTTTTTTATTTAAATTAAACTTAAAGAATAAGATTTTTCTTATTCTATTTCTAGAATAAGAGAAAATTAACAACGTCGTATCAACAATTCTCGACGTTACAAATTATATTAAATTTGATACTTTTCGATACAATTTTGATTTAACAAATGTGCATTGCATTTATTCATATAAATATACTGGAGAGAGAAAGAGAATATATTAACATATATACAGAATACATTATTATTTTCGAAGGCTTGAAATTTCGAACACGAGGGTTCAAGCGATCAGCAATCATTTTTGAGCGATTTGAAAATGTTTCTATCTCTCTTCATGATATGCATATGAATAAATGCAATGCATACAATCAAATCAAATCGTTGTAAAACCATTTAAAAGAGCAAAATCAAATTAAATCGTTTTTTTTCTCCAATTCTGAAGTGTTGTACAAATTTTGTTGCAAGATTTAAATTAGGGGTGACAGAATCCACAGAAAATGATGTGTAACAAATCAAGAAAAAAAAAATCCAATCGCATGTCATAATGGATAAACCAAAAAATTATATCAAAAAATATCAAATTTAATATAAATTTTCAATGTCGAAAATTGTCCGCGCGACATTCTCGATATTTTCAAATTAAATTCGTAGTTTCTTCATATTCTAGAACAATTTAAGTTTAATTTAAAAAGAAGAATCATTTCTTTATCTCATTTCCGTCAAAAGTTCTACGATTTCGGCTAGGTTTGGTCATTTTTCCCCACTGTGCGCCGGTACTAACTCGAGACCCTCTCTCCATCTCTTCTCTCCGTCTGCCTGTCTCTCTCACTCTCTTTTCCTCTCGGTGGAGCTGGAAGCCTCGCGGCGTAAAATTCCGGGAACGCGTAGAACCGTACCTGAGGTACTCCATGTTGAATCACGCCACATCTGGTGGTCGCCCAGGTGAAGTATCCCACCGCCTTTTACACCTCCTTCGTCCTTGGAGCCGCCCTCGTCCACGCCCCAGAGCTTTTTTGCCGAGGGAGCGATCTGAAACAATAGAAGAAAACGGGTGGTGAGTACCCGGTGGGTCGGCGAGCACGCATTTTCAGAGGAGCAATCGCACCGGATCGCGCCGACACGAAACTCCCAAGAGCTCGCGCGCGTCCGCTGCCCGCCGGAGCGCCGAAAGATACCGGCGAGTCTACGCGCGATCCCATTAATTACGCTAACGAGCCGCAGATCCGCTCGGAATTAGCGTATCTTGCGTGCGCGGCCGATCGTCGAACTCGATACGCAGCGTATTACCGGCGCGCACCGCTAAGAATTGTTAATGTCTCGGTCTATAAATAAAATTCAATTGAATTTCGCTCGACCATTTCGCCGCGATCGGGACACCGTGCACACCGTCGGCTACAGTCTATTTTCCGAAGGGAGAGCCCCGAAGGTAAACCGACGATCGCAACAGCTGTTCGCCCCCACTCTACGACGGCTCTAGGCACGACACGTGTGCGTGATAGCAGACTGCATCGTCTCCCCTCCTTCGTGGAACACCCGAAATTTCGCGGCGGAAAATCAATCCGCCAGCGAGTCTCCCCGGATGTCTTATGGGAGGGCAACCCTGTCAACATCGGCTATATATACCAGTCATTTTTAAGATAAAATTTTCAAAATATGCACGTGTTGTCATAGCATTTTTCGCGACAGATACGAATACGTCGGCTGGAAAACTTTAATTTTATAAAAATGTCACACCGTATGATCCGTTTGACAATTTCACAATCGTATTTGTTTTTATGATAAATATAATTAGAATTTTGAACTTTTATATTTAAGGTTTATAAGCATATTGGAATTATATTTCCTCGGTAAAATTGATGCACTAAACGATTGTATCAACTATCGACGATGTTTATAACAATTCTGAGCTTTGTTCAGCAATTTTTCAAAACATATTTTTGAAGGTACTTCTCGCAGACTCGGCATTTCTGTCGTCCCCAATGCAACAGCAATTCATTTTATCGAACTGCCGAAAATTGTGCGATTGAGCGATCGACTTGCGAGGTTTAATAGTCAGATTTTCGTTGATTTTGTCCGACGGCCAAGGAAGATTGCCGACGCCCGTTACAGGACGATATCGATCGAAAGACTTTTAGCGAATTAATAATTAAATATTTGACGATCCACTTTGCAGCGGGGATATTTGAAACACTCTCGCGTCCCGAATCTGCCAGATAGGCTCCCAAAGTTGGGCTCGCCTCCGAGCTTATCCGGCAGACTCTATCTTAAACGTGATTGGAATTCACAGCGGTGTCTCGCGCCCGACCCCTCGGTGTCTCGAGCTTTCCAGCCGCTATCGAATACCTTTCGTTCACGCAGTTTGCTGCCACCCGCGAACCAAGACCTCCGATTTTCTCTTTTCATTAAACATCGCTGTGAAGCTGCTCGATGTAACGGAAAATAATGCTTTCGTTTTCACAGAAGCGATTTTTCCAATTGTTGCGTCCACGTTCTACGTACGCGGCTGACGGTCGTCTGCTTCGGAAGCAGTCTGAACGCGAACACGTTGTGGTTAATTTCATATAAAAATATCCGAAGAATTATTCTAAATTATTCTTAGAATAATCTCTATTATTAGAAATATTATTATATCTAAAAAAAAACTGCAAACGTATTGTCTTCATTATCTGGTAAATGTTTTTTTGCTAAAATGTTACAATAACCCTCTACACCTCGCTTTTTGTATACATTTTTAACACTAGATTTACGGAGCACTATAAGCAGTTATTTTATATTATATAGTATATAGTATAAAATATATTATGAAAGTAACAATATAAAATATAAAAGTAACAATAATAAGACATTTAGTCTCATTTTAAACGAGTGTTATTGCAATATTTGCCGCAAGAAACAGACACATTGAATAAACAACTCATAAGTGTATCTTTACAATCTGAATAATCGTAATTTACAAAATTAATAACCTGACATTTTCACGGATTCCGTAAACTTAGGGTCAATATTCCTTGTACAATAAATTATCCCTAATTGACGCTCAGCTTGGAAACAAAAATGGACAATTTGGGAAGAGAAGATACGATTATTCGAACCTTGCGGCTCGTTTTTACAGTTAATATTGTCAATTATTATATTATGCTGAACCGCAAGATTCAAATAATCGTATCTGCTCTTCCCAAATAGTTCATTTTTGTTTAAAAGCTGAGCGTCAATTACGGAGAATTTACTTCCTTATTTTATTCCTTCCTTTATTTATTTCCTTTCGTCAAAATTCTCAACACGACTTCTTCGACTTTTAACAGTAACAAATAAATTTCGTTCTATCTAATAAAACGGCGATATACTGAATGATAAGTGCATCGTACGCAAATCATATGCGAAACATACGTTTGATCGCAAGAGCCTGGTCTGACGCGTCCGACGCTAACAGAGAAGATCATCCGCGCGCGGACGTCGCGACTAATCGCAAGCGGCGAACGCGTACGTCCAGAGAGCCGTTTACGTTCGACGCTTGCAGTACATTCTACCTTTACCCGTGATTTCCCAAGCTCCGTTGCTACGATATTTTTCTGAAAGTAAATGAGCGGCGTTGGTGACCCGTACGNTTGGGAAGAGAAGATACGATTATTCGAACCTTGCGGCTCGTTTTTACAGTTAATATTGTCAATTATTATATTATGCTGAACCGCAAGATTCAAATAATCGTATCTGCTCTTCCCAAATAGTTCATTTTTGTTTAAAAGCTGAGCGTCAATTACGGAGAATTTACTTCCTTATTTTATTCCTTCCTTTATTTATTTCCTTTCGTCAAAATTCTCAACACGACTTCTTCGACTTTTAACAGTAACAAATAAATTTCGTTCTATCTAATAAAACGGCGATATACTGAATGATAAGTGCATCGTACGCAAATCATATGCGAAACATACGTTTGATCGCAAGAGCCTGGTCTGACGCGTCCGACGCTAACAGAGAAGATCATCCGCGCGCGGACGTCGCGACTAATCGCAAGCGGCGAACGCGTACGTCCAGAGAGCCGTTTACGTTCGACGCTTGCAGTACATTCTACCTTTACCCGTGATTTCCCAAGCTCCGTTGCTACGATATTTTTCTGAAAGTAAATGAGCGGCGTTGGTGACCCGTACGCTCCCGCTGTTCCCGACCTCACCTAACACTGGAGGTCAGTGACGTAACGGCGAGTCGCGGGTGGGGATGGAGAGAGAGAGAGAGAGAAGCGTGTGCAGACTGCACAGAGATTGCGGGATCCTAGATGCGGGTACACTACTGCACGCGCGGCGGTGACAGTGCAGGCCCGAGAGCCTCGGTGCATTCTCGTCCGCATTGTCGGTCCCGGCCTGCTGCGGATCGTTAAGCGGAAGTGTACCGACTCGATTACACGGACGATGGCTGTGGTTCTTTCGAGTCCCTTCTTTTCATCGGGCGCTATTCAGCTGAAGAGCCCGAATCGCACGGATCCCGCAAAAACGGTCCCGATCTTCGAGTTCGTTCGAGGCTAGTGGCGCCGGTTACTGCGAGGTGACCAATTGCTGTGTCTTTGGTTGGTGTGCTTTCGGGAATAGTTCACTTGACATTCAACGAATCGACTTCTTTTATTCAGAAATAAACAAAATGAGAGAGCAAAGAAATTGATAGCGCCTTATTCGATAATTATAACGTTAATTATGCTCGAGAACGAGAGTTGGCAAATTTTATTCGGATGACGGATGGAAGAATGAAAATGTATTTAGAAACAAAATTTATTCGAATGAGATTTGATTCGACTCTGTCGAATGAAAATTCGATCGAATAAGAATTCATCTTTATACGAATTTGTCCGAAAGAAATGTTATTCGAACAAGAATTCGTTCGATTAAGATTTTAATGGTATAAGAATTTATTCGTGTAGGAATTCATATGGTAAATAATTAATAATATAAATTAGTAAATAAAAATTATAATAATTAAATAATAAAAATTAAATATAATTAAATTAAATAAGCTTGAATAAACATGATACAATATAAAGTGTATTTTCACGGTGCATCGATTTATTTCTTCCATATTACTTTATCGAATTATTCGAATAAAAAAGTATTCGAATAAACAGATAGAACAATTTATAACGGATGAAGAATCGTACCAATAAATAGACAGAATAATGTATGACGAATAAAGAATTATCCGACTAATTTGCGACGAATAAAGAATTATTTGAATAATTTACAACGAATAAAGAAATTATTCGGTATAATTTATGACGAATAAATAAAATAATTACTGGAATAAAATATTCGTCTGAAAGGAATTTATTCGGATAATGATCTTCGACCTATATTTATTCCGAACGATCTGAACAATGCCGAATTTTGCCGAAAGCAAACGGAAGGTACAGCAATTGGCGAGCCCACAGTAAACCGGCCCAACTACCCTAGCAGCTAACTAGGGGATTAACTTACAAACGGCTCAGTCTTTCGTCGTCCACTTGCTCTCTCTCTCTCTCTCTCTCTCTCTCTCCCCCTCCCCCTCCCCCTCTCTCCGATGTCGACGCATGCAAGGTAGACGACACGGAGCTACGGTGTCTCGTCGCGTAGATAATTGCAGGTATGGTTCACCCTTTCGAGCTAGACCCGATGGAACCCGACGCAGACCGGTGGAACGGTGAATTATTGAGAGGACCGCGACCAATCGCGCGCCGCTACGTCCGTGCGCGTTAGGCGGCCCGACAATTGCTCGATTTACGCTCGCCGCGTGTCTTCCACGAACGGCCGAGTGTCTCGGAGCGTGTTTCGCAACGCGACCAACAACCGTGTCCACGGTGCTGACGGCCCCGGCCGACCCTAGCCGCCCTCGAGAACCGTTCTCGATTCCGACTATTTAAGGGATTAGGTCACTTTGAAATTCTAGCGACCCGATCGCGCCATCAAGTCCCGTTTCTACTTAGGCCCGTTGCGAGCTGGTTTATGTCGAGCCCGGCTATTGCAGGTGTGCAGTAATTTCTCCCTAATTCGCGCTCAGATCGCGCACAAAAA